AAGGATACGCCTAAAGAACTGTTTTCAAAAACAGAAGAAATTGGGTTTTACTTGCTCTTTAGTCATTCACAAATACAATAACAAAAATGTCCACGTATAATCTAGGCGAGATCTCACAGTACCAGGGCAAAAATGGAAAACGTCAGTCTAGTTTTATAGTAGTAGTGGACGTGAAAAGTTCATCAACAGACGCCTACAATTTTCTATTGAATATATGCAACATCCAGAAGCACTTGAGCCACCATTTAATATAGTGTCTGTCCATCAGCCCAACTTCTTTTCTTATGTTCAAGCTACATGCCCTAACTTTTAAAACATTTTGATGAAGTTTGCTTCAAGGCCGAACCCTGTTGAAAATGATTCGAGTATGTGAATAACTATAGGTGATAAAGTGGCCCGTTACAGTGTTTTTACTTGCTTTACTTTGCTAAATTTTAACAAAAATAATTTTATTTTTAGTGAACACAAGATGGCATTAGCGCTTCAGCATTAAGATGTTATGTTATTATATCAACGGAAAATAAGGTTTATATATTTTAATGCTTTTATAATTTACTATATACTGCACATTAAATGAATACAAACATTTAAGCATACGTGCATATACATACATTTATGTAAATACTTTAAGGTCGAAGTACTTTTAGTTTTCAGTCGTTGATCAGCTAGCCTCACATTCCTGAAAACCTGAATATTCCCATAAGAGTATTTGAATTCTCTTTATTTGCGAAAAAGAAAAAAAAAACTTGCAACATTTACTGATGGAAATAGTCGCCTAAATAAATTCGGGCGACAGTTAGCATGAAAATTGAAATTAAAACTCGGTGCGATTTTTCTTTTAATTTCAATTTTTGCAAGTTTCTATACATATACGAAGCACGGTTCAGCGTTTATATCCGAATTAATTAAATCTCATATTCTTAATGCATAACACTTTAGCTATGTGCCTGAATATGTACATTTTATATGTTATAAACGTGCGACTATTTGCATGTGTTTACGTTAGCGTAGTTATGCACATCGCTGGATAAGTGTTAAATCGCACACATGATATAATATCCTGGAGAAAAATTTAAATTTACTCACTAACACTTTTAAAGCCCTTCATTTGCACATCTTTTGATACCCATACCCTTATCATTCTTGCATCAATCAAATGCAGATGCGGATGTACATATATTTAAACACGAGTACGCAAGAAAGTATTTCTTGTGCTAATTTCTCTTTTTTCACGAATCACTCGATTTTCATAGTCCCTTTAGTCAAAGACAAAATTGTGTTGTTTAAAAGCATGAAAAATTAAATGTAACAACATTTTAAAAAACTTATATGTTAACCTAAAAACAAAAAACCATCTTTAGGAGATCACAAAAGATGAAATCCTCTTTTCTGGCCAGGAATAGTTTTGTATCCACTCGTGAAAGGTTCCTCTTGCCATTCGTAAAATCATAAAATATTCGACATTGATTCGTTAAAATCCTTAACCGTTTTAAAAAGTGGAAAACCACTGACTTGTGACTTTATCGACTTCTTGGTCTACACTTCTCAATCAACTTGGAACTTTCTTTCCGTGCGTCGATGTGTTGCTAAACTCGATCGAACTTCCTATACACGTGTTCCTGCTTGAGAATCCATATCGAGTTTGAAAAGGGAACAGAGGCGCCTCGATTATTATCTCAGTTCAAGGCAGCCGCGTCTTGAAGAAAACCCTTATTGTTTATTTCGCTGTGTTTTAGCTTCATCATTTAATTGTTAATCGCTAACTGGTCAAGTCACGATGTAACTTTTTGTATAAATGAGTCAACAGCTAAGGATTACGCCATTCACTTCCTTTCGTACGCTATGGAAATTAAAAAACTCTTAAATAATTGCTTCTGTTCTTGATCAAGAGGCCACATCAAGTTTGAAAAGGGAACAGAGGCGCCTCGATTATACTCTCAGCTCAAGGCAGCCGCGTTCTTGAAGTAAACCCTTATTGTTTATTTCGCTCTATGTTAATCATTAATTAAGTGGCCAAGTCACGATGTAACTTTTTGTATAAATGGGTCAACAGCTTAGGATTACGCCATTCACTTCCTTGCCTACGCTATGGAAAGTAAAAAACTCTTAAATTATTGCTTATGATAACAGCGAGTATGGCTTAAAAAGAGGTAACCTTGGAACAAGCAGCATCGAAATAATATGAATCAACTATCGAAAATTACTTTCGCCACACCCACTTGCACTACACACAATTGCCGAAAATATGTGTCTCGGAAATCCAACAGAATATAATAATAAAAGTTTGTAACGAACAATAAATAAATGACAAACAAATATAAAACATTTTCCTTTATAGTCATATGTCTGACCAATCGGACAATTTAAAGCCAACAAATTTTCATTTGCTTTACGATATTATTTATACATACACATTCATTCTGATTATTACGAAAGGGAGCTTATTTACAGTTAAGTAACTCTTCTAATGTTTGACTACTTTGCACAGAATCAAATATCAATTTTTTTATATGCCTTATTGTGTTTGTGCGTGTGTGTGCATGCGAAACCATTTATAACACTTTACTGTATTTTTTATTTTTTATTTTTTTTTTTGAAAAATAAAGCAACAGTGTTTATGTACATATTGTTTCTTTGTTCTGCGGCCGGGTGAATGAGTTTGAAAAAGTTTTGCAGTTTTCAACTCACTTGAAATTAATTTTACTGTAAATCCAAAACTCGTCAAATGTCAGCTTAACCCCTTTTTGTGGCAATGAAATGAATGTTTTTTCGTTTTTTTTTTTTTTTTTTTGTTTTTTTGTTTTTGGTATTAACGCATCCGAGCGTAGAGCTGTACAATAGCAGTGGCAGTACATGAGTATGTATGTATGTATATGCCCTCACCATTCTTACTGAAACCGGGGATTGTATTTATTGGTTTCCCATTACCCTCGAAAAGTATTCGTATTTAAATCGATTTCGCAAACTGCATCCAAGTCGGCAATTTCGAAGGAAAGACGTCATAGTCGATGAACTCTGAGAACGGAGCCTCTTGAGTCATTAATCCTCCCCCAAACGCACCCTAACAGTGCATTAAGCTAATGAACAACTTTGAAGAGCGAAAATTTTAGTGAGTTTTCGTGAATAGAAATCGATTTCGACTTTACAAGATCATGTCCGCTCAGATGTCCAAACAAGTAACGAAGCTGTGCATTAGGATTACAAAATATTTTGCTAAATATTGCTATGATAATGGGTAGATCAGAACCATTTCCGACCTTGTAACAGACATGAATGCCTCGTATAGTTTGTCAACTACCCTGGTGTGGGCTTATTGGTGATCCAGAGTCCTTTGTATCAAGTTCTGCTATAACTTGTCAATTATAGATATTGGTTTATTATGAACGTGGTAGTGAATTCCAATCGTAAGGGCAAATTTGATGATATGTAATGCTATCCCTGCCCCAGATTGGCAAAAATAATAATTTCGGGCTAACTAAGAACCCAGAATACAACTCTGATGTTTGTCATGTTTTTGTCACACAATCCTATAAGGGGTTAAATTTATATAAAGGCAAGAATAAAAAGTTGTGCTTGCTGATAGTTTTACAATTGTGAACAATTCCTAAACTAGTAGTTTTTGACAGTTTGGTAGTAACCGAAAACGAATATGTATAAAGCAAGCAAGCATTATATATAGCTATATATATCAGATTTAAGTTTCCGCTTTTGTTTTAGTGTAAAATAAGGAATCAAAACCATGAATTAAATCCAACATTCAGATTTTTAAGGTTACTACTGATAATTAATGTTGATGTTGGATGAGTTGTGCTTTTGCTTTAAAAAATAATCTACAATAGTGTTCGTACGTTCTTCGACCATTTCATTAAACAATTATTAAAAATTTTATAAATGTTAAATAAATTGAATATGATGAGCTTCTTAATGTACTAAATAAAAACCGAAAGGAAAAATTCGAGAAAAAAGAAAGCAAATTAAAAGATTGCAGTCGGACAAAAACGACTATTAAATAGTCTACGCTACTTCCTCTATTGGGATTATTTGCCTATCTTCTAGAGTTGTATTCGAAATCAATTTCCCGCCAAACATGTCAGATCATCGAAGCTCGTTAATATATCTCGGAAATCGCGACCTATAAAGGTAATACAATAAGTCATGGAGAGGTCATTAGATGGAAAAGAAGACAATCAAAATCTATATATGCCCCTACAGGTTAAACATATCATTATTCGCTCGTCATTAGGCTTTTCTGGGTGCCCTAGGTATAACTTACATAGGATTCAAAATGCTGTTAACCGTATAACACGCTTTGGTTGTAACGTCAAACTTAGAGACCACACCTCCTCCTTCGTTGATGCTTTCTTAAAATTCTTCTTTCTCGATTATCTAAAATTCAGGTTGCTTATCTATCTCTGCAGAATCATTTCATTTCGATCGTCAAGCTCTTTAATAGAACGATTGCAGTTCTTTAGATCGAGCAGAATCTCTTTCATATTAATACTAAGCTTTTCTAACTCATCAGTTGGACGATGTATTACTGTGCGTGTTAATAGATATTGGAATGCCGTTATCACTGAGTCTGAAATCCTGCGATGACTCCTTGAATACGTTTAGAAGAGAACTTTGACTGCACTGCTGAACTCATACTGTATACTTTGTTGTTGGTAGGAATTGACGATTATGGATAAAGATGATTACTTTTGACGTTACGTTACTGACGTATACACTCACTTATTTTGTAGTTTTTTTTTTTTTTTTTGGCACATGAAATGTGTCTATGCAACTGGATAATAGGCCTAAGGCTATATAGTTGCTAAATCAATCAATAAATGAAATGAAAATAAATTTATTGTAAGTAAAATGAATGTTTTATCAATTGTTTATTTTGAACAATATATAGCCAAATAGTTTCGTATATCAGTTGGCCAATGAGTTTAGGTGAATAAAATTACTAAAACTGGTATGAATGTTCGATCTTTAACATCGTAAGCATAACTTTTTGTTGCGATTGGATATCATCTGCGTAGATTTATAAAAATCCCTTTTTTCGATATTTTCATTCCTAACCAGATGAACAGTGACTGGCTGTAACAAATGAACAAACTTTAAGAATTTCAAAGTACTTCCAAGTCGAGTAAAGTTACTTACATTTGACGATCCAGAAATGATCAGTGATAGATCTCTGATCCGCAGAAAATTGTTCGATATACAAATGGGTCTTGTTATACGCTTTCAGTCGAGTATAACCGTAATCCTGCAAACAGAAAGTTCTGGGCTTAGTATAATATTGCGAAAATCCGCGTATATATATTAGGAAACGGATTCCATAGATGTGATAAAACTGCTCAACAATTGAGCATATCAAAAAAACCAGATGAACAAGGCCAACTAAAGAGGGCTATCATGGTGCGCAAAATGCTGCTTCAAAAACGAGAATGAAAATATTTTTAACGTTACATACATACTAGTAGCGGGAAATTGATCCGCTAGGATAATTTACCCGAAGGCACGTTAACATCAATAAGGAAGCTTGATTGACTTGATCACTGGATCATGACACAACCTTCATAATATGAAAGTACATGAACCAAAATGACTTTATGAGGTGACTATTAATTAATTACATGCTCTTAAGTCGACTCGAAATTCTCCCGCCTTCTTCTGAGTACATTTTATTTCGCAGCCTATATATGTGCATTGTTTTTATATCCATAAATATTATAAGAGCTAAAATTATTCCCGATTTTGGTCGCACATTTAGGTTATGTACTTTAGGTTTATTTAGTTTTTAGTCGAATATCGCAGATGGATGTCAGTGCAGATACAAGGTAACTTGGCTTGGTTTCGAACGGGAGAGGGACATATACGGCAAAGCTAATTGTCGAAGATTGGGTGTTAAGGGAAGTAGGCTTGGTATTTTAGATTTGGTTGTTTGGCGATATAAGGCGCGAGCAACATAATCCTCTGTTTTCACTTAAATCCTATAAAAGGATCCGGGTCTTGTAAATAAGATTTCACTGGGACTCGACAGACAATGGATTCATGACAACCAATTGAATTGAATGTAACCGTAGCGTGAAGCGTAGTTAGATTGACCATATTAAGGCAAGAAAGCCACAAATTAAATAAAGAATAAAAACCGATTGAAACAAAAAATTGAATTCAAAAAGAAAAAAAACCGCAAATTACATAAGTGAAGATTAGAGAATGTAAAATATGAAGGTTTTACGCTCGTATAAAATTAGTTGTCGAAATCAAAATTTTATAAAGACCTATGGTAATGGCTAGTGAATCTAAGAGTTGAAGTTGGCAGGTTAAGATAATCGAGAATAAAAGCAATCGAAATTTATAACGTATAAGGAAAAAGAGTGCCTAGGATATTTTACTTCGTAGATTTATCCTGACGAAGTCCCCTAGATATAAATTTCTTAAGAGTAGTATCCAACAGCGGGAATATTGTACGTATACATATATGTATGCGGAAAATATCAGTGCCAAATACCTTACTGCTTTCAGAGAGATCAAGAATGGTAAGATTCCTGGCTAACTATGCCTTTCTTCCACCGAGGAAGCAATGAACACTTATACCTAAGTGTGGATTGTGTGTTAATTATATCCCTAAGCTGACTATGTTTCTAAGTCGTGGAACGTGTAGAGTTCTCACCCAAACAACTATTAAAAAGTTTTTCCCTCTTTGTCTACTTTTGACTAGAGATCAAAATAGCCGTGATAACGATCAAGAAAAAAACTTTCCGATTTTAAGCCCATTCATGCATTTGTTAAATACTACTCCTATTTCTCTACACACCACCACTTGAGTGAGGTAAAAGAAGCAGAATTTCACAATCAAAAGCGATCTCACCTTACTCCGGAAGGCACTCCATCGTGGTATTGGTTCAAGGAATTTTTCCCTCTCGCCAGAACCTCCAGCCGAACCAGTAATAATATGAATTGGAGCGTATGGTTCGTAGTATAGATCAGGATTGGGCCCGCCTACCACTGTATAATTATAAAGGGGCCAAGTGCGTTCATATGAATTTTCATGTGACCACATTTGAACATCAACACCATAACGAAAGAAAAGTTCTTCCAAACCCATTAAGTCGTCATCTGGTAACCCGACGCGTACCTCGTTTTCAGGCCTTGTACATGAATGGTCATTTTTGTTACTACAATACATAGGACGATGTCCATAAGTGATGATCCAAGGACGCTTTAATCGATTTTCTGGTTTATCAGATTCTATTAATTCGTGTTGTAGCCAATCAAATTGATTGCAATAGGGCTCATAACCATATTTATGGGTGAAAAAGTATACTTCTGTTGAAAACGCGAGAAAATGCACTGGACCCAAATTGAAACTATAATACAGACCGTCTGCATTACCCGGCATTGTAAATCGGTTCCGATAATGGGAAAAATTACTAAAATCAAGAAAAAAAAGGCAACAAGTTTTACAAAATTGAGAAACGAAAATTCTAGATTAACATACTAGGGTTCTTCAAGATTTCCCGGCGTCACCATAAACGGTACATAAGCAGCAATCGCCTCAACTTCTTTCATAAATAAATCACCTCTCTGGCCATCGTCTACGTTTAGGCCTGAAGCAAAATTGCCGTTGTGCACAACGACATCGTACATGCCCTGCTGAATATCGTCGTGTAAGAAGGGTAGAATAAATGCGTGTGTTAGGCCCATATTGCCGTAAATCGCCAAAGATGGAGACCAATTTTCATCGGTCTGTGGTACACAAAACCAATACTCAGGTGACCAACCTAAATCGCTACCACAATAATATTTATAACAAACGTTCTCGGTAAGATTTTTCAATAACACCTATGGTAGACAAGTGTACTTTAGACAGATAAAATGATATATTGATAGGAAAACTTTCTCAAATCTTCGCAATTTGCATTCGCATTTGTTACTTACTCGATGTATGAATTGACGTCTGCGATTTACACCTTGGTCTATAAAAAGAGTCGGGCCATCTATATTTTCTTCTGCAAATTCAACATGTCTTCTGCCATATTTGCATACCGACGTTCTTGATTTTAGCTCAGTTGACCACGTGACCACTATATCACGTACTGTGTCTGTGTGGATATATGTGAATGAAAGCATAAAATAACTATTTTTACGTTTAGTCTCATCATTACCCGCAAACGATAAATGTATTTGCATCGGTTTATCTACTTTTGCTCCAGCATTCTTATCAATTTTACTAAGCAATATAAATTTTATGTGCAACAATAATAAAAAATTCATACTTGCAACGAAAATATTTTGGTTTAAAAAGCACTTTTCTCTCTGAAATCCATACACCGTCTAATGGTGTTTACGCTTGGAGTTCTATTTATATTCTCATATACAGGGTTTAGCATTAAAAAATTCACGCGCCTGTTGAGGAATGGAATGAGGTAATAATTGAATAAATGAGGTAAGATTCGATGCATTGAACCGAAGAAATTTCTCCTCATATCATTTTCAAATTTCGGCAATATTGTCGCGTTTACACGCCTCACTAGGGGCCTCACTACATCGAGTTGGACTGAGACGTTTTCAACTCTTATACGAATAAGGTAAAATCCTCGTCTGGAAAGGAAATACCTCTAAACGTTTACAGAGGGTAAAGTTTTGCAATGCTCAGGTTGCCTTTGTCAATACTGCACGAAGAGTTTAACAAAAAACAATTTCCGGGAAGCTCAAGTAGTTAAAGGGATTAACAAATCTATCAAATGTTAATTGGTGACCGTGTTTTGAAAGTTTGATAAGCATAAGATTTCGTGGATGCAAACAGATGTCAATTGTCACATTCGAAGGAACAAACCGAGCAAGCTTGTGAAAGCGAAATAGAACTAAAGGTCCCTGCGACTTAATATTCGTGAAAACGACTTTTTTGTAAATGGTCTAAAAATTGTACTTAAAATCTATGCTATGCGAAATATACCATTCAATGATACTGACCTAAGGAATAGAAGGAAAACAATTAAAATGCGACAATGTGTTTTGAGTAAAGCAATTAGTACATCGACTGTTCATTAACTACAACAAAGCCATAGGTAATAGGTAAGGTTTTCTCAAAAGGGGTAGGTCTAGAATTCTAAACGCTGAACACTGATATTTCGCCCTTAACTTAAATTCTTTGCATCCCAACTAATTTTAAGTTAAAACGCAGTATTTCTTATCATGTAACACCCTGTGCATTCATATTAAATGTACAGCTCGTTACATAATTCCCCATATTTCAAATACTGCCGTATCCGTAAACATTCCTGGTAAACAATTAGTAAACAATTATGATTTAATCCGCGGTGTTCGCTTGCCAATTTCTAGCTGTAACACTAATTGAATCGAACAATGCTTATTTTACCGATTGATTGCACGTGTTGTTTGCTCTAAATACGTTCCCTTTAGGCAATAATGAAAGCTTTAAAGAAATGAAATACCGTAAAAGCTTTTTTCTTTTTTAATATAGGAAATAGCCGCCCTAAACGAATATATGGAAATTCAAATCTTTAATTTTTGTATTTTTAAGCTTCTCCACCATTGCAATAAAATCTGATTACGTCCTTCAGCATTTTGCTGTTTAAGGTGATTGGAGCGGTACTATCTTATTCTACAATACCTTAACCCTATTTCAAAGCACTAAATATATACTATTTAACGATCTACAACTACATTCTTCGATTTTTTTGTCAATAAAGGTGATTGCGGAAAAAACTACTACAGCGCTCCACTTGCATCCATTGCCAAGTCAAGCTGAGAGTATTTTATCTGAAACTAATTCATTCTAATGGAACAATTCCAAACATTCAAAAGAAGCCAGTTCTATATAAAGTTCGCCAATTTGATTTCATTTTTTGGGCTCGAAAATAGTACAACTAATAATAAATGGCATAAGGTTTCAGAAAATTTTCGAGGCTTTTATTTTTATAAAAAGCTTTTTTATATTCAAACTTTTTTTCACTTCTAATCGGCGAAATATCAATAGTATATATCATAGTAAGTCAGAGCGACCCTCTTTGAGGAATTACATCGTTTGCAAAACTTTGGATAGAAAGTTATTAGGAAGATAATATTAAAGAATGGGTGGATCCCGCGCCTTAAGGCACGCAGAACGTATTGAAAAAAATGACTTAATAACATTTATCAGAAACTTATGCTCCCGTTGAGATGTTTTCAAAAAAAATATGATCCAAACCATCGTTAGTCCAGTCGGTAGTTCTAGAATCAATTAAGTCCAAACTTTTATTGCTCTGCGCATTATCACGTGTATTATATGATGATTTTAAATTGAAAATTCATTATCTCGCATCGTCTTACATAACGCTATACTCATTTTGTTACTTCACGTATAATGCGCAGTCTAACAGACTCCCTAGGATATGTACACATATATAATGCACATGATCAACGTAAAATTCAGAATTGATTTGAACTGCGCCTTTTTGGAATTGGCACGATGTAACTCTAATAACTCATAAGCCTTTAAGAGCCTTAAGAGTCTGGGTATCGCATGTTCACCTAATGTGAATGTAACTTTCGTACTTTGTCTTTACGAAATACGTAGGCAGTCAAACATTTTGTTCAAAATGAAGTTTAGGAGAATCTTAGGCACATTTTTTTTATCTCTTATCAACAAAACTCTTTATTCACTGAAGTGAAGATAACCCATCAAGATAATCCCCATTGTTTAAGGTTCGCGTCCTTGCTAAAATTATGATTTACCGCGAAATAGAAAACAAACGTGTAAAATAAGTGTCAAAATTAAATAATCTTAGCTAGCAACAAACTAAGTCTCTAATTACGATCATAAAAAGAAAAGAAGTAAGTTATTGCAAACCAAGCAATGGTCAAATCGGGTTATAACAATTTCCAGATGCATTACGCAACTATAGATTTTTGATATGTTGTGAAAAATGGTGAAACTATCAGAAGAAACTATTTTCATTACCACGGCCCAGGTCCATCATCTCAACCCTGTCCTCCTCTTATACACAAGACACTAAATGCAAAATGTTGCTTAAATGTTGCAATAATGTTACTAATGAAATAATCGATGTTATATACAAAATTTTCTTGTTTTTCTTGCTAATGAAACGTTCGATGCTTAATATCTAGGTTTTAGCATTAAAATTTCCAGGTTTACATGAATATTTTTTGAATTCATAAATGATGGGGGATTGTAACATCGGATATAATCAAAAGTAAAGAAAAACAATTGAATCTTAATGCAACGTGTTGCATTTAGTGGTTGTGTATATGGAGAGAGTATATTTGGCGCGAATTTGGTGGCGTTGGCCCGGGCCAATTATAATGAAACTAGGTTTTTCTGACAGGTTTTTACGCCCCGTTCGTTAAATTTTTTTATAAACACTTTATGTATTGCAACTTTTCGCCAACAATATACATGTATCACATGATAAATGTGGTAATAATAATTTTTTTTTTTTATTTTTACAACATATATGTATGATTTTTTAATTTCATTATGTTTCAAATTTCTATTTTTGCTTAGTTTTCCTCATCATTTTGTTATTTTTTCAATATCGTTCAATTATTAATTACATTCAGCATAGCCGCGCACCAAGCGTGAAGATATGCCTCCTTTTAGCGAAGACAAAAACCTGGGCTATGTGCAGTGGGCTAACTTTACGCCAGTCATTATTTGTACGGCCGAAAATCCTGTTAATGATTTCTTCTCTCACGAGTTATTCTAGACAGCGCCTATTCATATTATGTTATTAGTAAGTTGTTTACATTTCTGATATATATACACCGGTACCAATATGACATGTAAGCAAGGGAATACTATGAAAATAAACACAGGTTAGTTATTAAGAAAATCATTTTTGATAAGATTGTGGAGTAAATGAACGAATGGTGTACCACAGGCGATAACTACAGCGAACATAAACGCCACTTTCTAGGTTTTGTTTGTATTTTTCTTATTATATAAAAATTCGAAATTCCTGTCCTGAAAGCACGCTCATTTAGAGTATACTAATGGGAATAAAAAATAGGTCCAATTGCGTAAACGAGGATTAATATTTTATTCATTCATTTAATTGTTTAATTATAACACGTATTATATAATAATAGTATAATATTTTAGAAGACTTCGACGTCATATCAAGAAACTATTAACAGAACTTTTGCCTATACAAATAAAGACAATGGAAGAGCGGGAATGGTTGCTAATTAACAGCGTACCTACTGTTATGATACTGAAAAATATGAGGAAAAAGTGCCTCAATTTTGAACAAAATGTTGGAGAATCTATGTATTTTGTTGTCTCTGGTTCTCTTAGCCAAGCATCACTTTAATAATGTGTACAAATTTTTTCACTAAACTGGCCTCAAATTTAAAAAATATTCGAGTGCGTAAAACGTTTAATGGGAATAGCAAATAGTATAGGTCTACGCGAAAGTGTGTGCGATGTCACAAATTTATAAGTAAGGCTTCGAAACGTAATTCACAAAACGGTCTCAACAAGAAAATAATATCATTCGGTCACGTGTTTCATCAGAAGCGAGAATATCAAGCATTGCAAAGCACACGCATTGATGAGTAACTCAGGTAATTGATCAACGCCATCAGTAAGCATTTTATCTGGCACTAACGTCTCCGCAGCCATTCGTTGCTGGGGTTACATCTATTACGTGTTGACGTGACGGCATAATTTTCCGTTAGCTGAAATTATTGAAAATGAAGTTCGACTAGACACGCATTCGATGAAAATTTCCGCACAATTAATCATTTTAACAATACATGATTATCTATTTGTTCATATGGGCTTTTTTCTCTCGTTCTACTCAAATCTAAACGATCAAGTTGTACGGGAGCTCACCTTGTGCTTACTTCTAATCCTATGTATATTTTTTGCTAGTCGATCCACGTCAAACCAAGACTGCAAGCGTGATTCAGTAAGCTTGAGATTTAACGATTAGAAATCGTTATCTGATCAAAGAGTTATGCGGCATTGTATTATAAATAAAATAAGATCAAGAACTTTTTAGCCTCTATTATTAAGTACAATAATTGCACTTGATTGTCTGAAGATACTTTTTACTTAAAAAAGATATACTAGTATAATGAAAGAAAAAACCTAATTAGATCCAGGCACATTTCTACTCATAGGCATGACATTGTGCAATGTTTTCTGGAACATCGTTGTTTATGTTTATTTTTTCAATAATACTGGCAGTAGCTCCCGCAATTAAAGCCAAAATTGCTAAAATACACAGAATAACATTTTTAATTAATTTCCATTTAAAGCAACCTAAGTGATTGGGCCATAAAAAGGCGGTCTCAACAAAACTGGGTACGAAAATACCTTTAATTAGAAAAGAGGAAAATGCTTTATTTCTTAGAACATAAACCGTGAAAATATAATTTACTTTACCCAGCAATGAAAAGAACACTGCACCCACCAAGCTAATAAATGGTTCAAGATTCGGTATGGCTGCCGCAACACCACCACTTATCAGTATAATACCTGTCCTTAGTAATATTTGTGCGATATTATGACTTTTCGGATCAAATTTATGCTTGATTTTACTCCACAAAATATCGTTCGGTATATAGAATTGCAAGCCAAAAGTGAAGAGTATCGCTAGAGCCATTAATATTTTAGCAGCATCAGCTAAACTGACGAATAAAAAAAAAGTTATTTAATGTAATGCAATGTAACAACAAAACTGTAATAAACCTATCATATATCACATAAATCCAAAATGAATTGAAGCATCTCTCTGCTATACATCTAAGCCTTACTTTACACGGCTTGCTATTATATATATGTATTATGTATTATATATAAGAAAGCAAAAAATGCAATAAGCATCTGTATGAGTAAATTAAAATCTTTGCCTAGAAATGTCAGGCGGTAAGTGAGGGAACTAAACTGACGCAGACGTCGATATCTTCCTTACGTAACCACGATAATCGACATCTTTCTTCCGTAACCATCAAATGACAGAAACTGTGAAAAAAATCAAACACTGACGAGTATCTTTCAACTTGCCTGTACTTTAGTTCACTGTGTTTCACTTTTGTACCGCAATTGGTTTGATTGCTTTATTTGCCAAATCGACTAACTTTACTTTTTGAATTTTTCTAAATTTTAATATCAAGACACTTGATTGATAATAGGTATTAAGAACGCCTAATGATAACATATTTTTCTTACAATTGAAGTGGAATGTCGATTTAAAACTTGATGCACACGTATGCGAGGACCATCAAAAACTTCAGTCCAAACATGACCGCAATTAACCAGAAAAAAGTTAGGGACTTCAGCTAACAATTCATAGCCGCAATTATTTATAAACTTGGCGCAAATATTTCAAATGTCTCAGCACGTTGAAGCAGCCTTCAGAAAAAAAAATAAACTATATTCCAATATAAATTGTATGGCGTGTTCAGTATCAAAGACTCATGGAGGTGGAATATAGTTCTTTACTTACGGTTATTACGCACGGGACGTCCGAATTACACAGTTTACAGTAAGTAGTTAACTGACGGAAACTAAGCTCGGCTTATATAATAGAAAATAGAAAACCCAACTTAACCAAATAATTCCTGAACTTGACCTGAAAACTTTTCTGCTAGAGAAGCATGCGATTTTATATATCAAAACTATCATTTTGTTTTTAGTTCTACCTGGCACTATATTTTTGCAATCCGACTATAAACAACAAGTTGTAGCTAAAATTGCAAATGTATATCTTATTTTCGGACGAGGAAGACGATATATTAATAACGTATCGATATTTTTATAAGTAAAATAAGCTTCAAATCTTATTTTACATTGCTTTAAGTTGTCATGAGCGTGGTCACGCCTTTTCTTTCGGAATTTCAAATTAATTAACGCATCATCAGGGATCTACTTTATTTTCTTCTTTCTGCAGTATCATGCTATACCAAACTTTCGCAAACTCATCTACCGCGCAAATCACGGGCTGGATGTATACAAAAATATAATGCTACGATGCAACGTATGTATGTATGTAACCAACATAGTATAGTAGTCACGTTGGCAGTCAGTAGTGAAGTAAAGTAAAAAGAAGTAAACACATTGAGGTGAACATGTTCAGTTATTTACTAACTGCTAATGATGGATTTATCATTGGAATACGTTTTATACGTTCAATGAAACCTCAAAATTACTCAAGTGCATTTTCAAAATCACCTAGCATGCAGCATGATATACCATATTCTAACTTTCTGCCTTATGTTTAGAAATGTTCTCAAATTTCAATTAATTTCAAACAATTTGGGAAACTCAGCGTAAGCAATGAGATACATCTGTAGCGTATTTTTCTACCTAATGATAATCAGTGCAATATTTTCATAAAATTAACTTACGGTGCACCATAGGGTAAATTTAAAGTAATACTGCCACGTACTTCCGATCCATAGGTGATGTAACCGAAGAAACCAATTGTTGCATACAAGGTAACAACGATCAGCATAGCCATGTTTAAAACACTCGGACAACCCAGAAAATGTTGCGGTGTCTTCATGGAATTTTCGACAGGCATAACCACACCAATACCTTCCATAGCAAATATCACAGTAGCAAAGAATAACGGTAATTGTGATGCTTTAGCTATATATGGTTTATCATCAAACACCAACGACTCATTGAACATATAATACAATGTAATTGCAAAAGTGACTATAACGAACAAATTGGCTATGGCGGAAAATGGTACAAGCCATTTTAAATCCCGTATCTGTCCAATAAACAAGCATGGTATTAGCGTCAGAGCGATATAAAACCGTATTTGCCAATTAAGATCTAAATCACAATTGATGACATCACGAAACGAGGTCGCTATGAAAACAATGTCAACACAAGCGGCGGCATAATAAGTGGCCATCAATGAACCGTCAACAAATTGCCTTAAAAAAAAAAAGAAACAACAACAAATAGCAATGTTCCAAAATGCACTTTCATATTATTACATAACAATATGCATACTTGGCAAAATTTGACCATTTCCTAAGAGATAGAGGTCCGTGTTGGAACACCTTTTCAGCGGTTTCAGCAAAACCCAAAAATGGTACACGTATCTTACGGCAAATACCGTGTGAAGTTTGCACCTACAACGACAGCGCAAAACGAAAGCTGATTAGCGAATCGATTAATTAGAATGTTGCTCATCAAATAAAATTATTTATTCTAAATATCAAGACCCTGAATCGATCTGGTTAAGCAGCAATGCAGTTGGTCTGTTAATTGTCGTAAGAACTCTTGCAATCATAAAAATTGACCAAAAAAAAAACAAAAATGAAGCTTGGAATAATAAAATCTACCCATCTTCGTCACAAAACATTGAAAGGTATATCTTTTCCCCATGCAACCGCCACCTTTCGGAAAGATCATTTATATATGGGAGCGCGTCTGACAAGTAATCTCATGTGGAAAGGAGTCCGAAAAATTCAACTATGTGATCAATGTCTGATAGAGTAAATTTATATGTCAAACTCGCTATAGTGGATAAGTTTTCGTTATAAAATTATTTTTCGTAAGAACATTTACCTGGAAGGCGGTTCAAAAAATGACTCCATGCGAACCAAATTTTCCGTCATGTAAAGTGACTATCTTTCACCAGTTGAATTTTTCGGTACTTTTTCAAAATAGTTGGGCCTGTGAGGAATGACCGCAAAAACGATCCGGACAAATTCATCACCAGTAAGTGTATGAAAAATTTCAATTTCTTTGAAAAAAATCTTGAAATGTACGAGATTTAGTTTAAAGTTCAAACCCCACAGATTAACAGTTCCGATCAGAATGATTCTTATTTTATTTAAAGGAACAATTCGGTAATTAATTCTGTACTATTTAGTATAATAAAAAAAGTATTACTATTTCAAGTTCAGTGGGTTGCGGCGAATATCGACCACCACAAAGGACGTAAAGTATAATTATTAGCATTCGGACAAAATCTAAGTGAAAAACCTGCAATGCTTCTGAAAAGCTCAAAGATCCCGTAACATTCGCTTACGAAATTTTCCAGTTGTAATTGCCTTAATATCCGACGTTGGTCCATTCAAAAGCACACAGTCCTTGAAAAATCCTCCCGACGATAACGGGAAAACGTTTCAGTATATAGCAGCTTTTAAGATCAACTCACCAAAATATGTACGCAATAGGTGCATAGAAGACCCACGGACAGAGTACCAACTAATCCGAATACTATTCCAGCGTTAAGAAAAGCCATTGGCATGGCCAAAATGCCAGTACCTAAAGAGCTCTTTAAAAGATGCAAAAAAGCATCTCTTGTGGAAGTGCCCGATTTCTGATCACGATAAACGAAAGGATCGTATTCATCGTCAAGTCTTTTTGTTTCTTTGATATTACATCTGAAAAAGTATTTTAAGTTTTATTTTATATATATATATATTCTTCAGAATTTTTATAACTCACGTTAAATTAAAAGTGCTTATTGTGAAAGCCGTATTAGAATCCTTTGCACTCATCATGTAATCGCGATGAAAGATGGACACTGCAGATTATTTCCGAATATCTTATGAATTATTCCATATGTTTGTATGATAGCACTACTTTTTATTAATAATTAAATAATTTCCTATTGTTCCTTTCGTATTAAAGTCTGCAGACAAGAACAGCCGCCAAACCGTTCCTCGCTATTTCAAATTATTTCTATCTAAACAAAATGTTTAAATAAATGTTTTATTTATTTTAATTTGTCAATTATCCCTTAATTTGCTTATTTCTGTTACTGTGTGTGTTTGTATTATTATTATTATTTATTTTTATTATTTTTTTTTTTTTTTGTATATATCCAAGTTATTTATTATGTGAATCAGTGAATCAGTAAACTGCGCTCATTGATCTGTGACGATCAACTGAATAAAAAGGAAATTGTTAACTCAAGTGATTTATATATATATATATATAAATATATACGTTATCAAAGTAATTAAAAGAAAGCATTTTAGTGAATGATTGCAATAAATTGGACAACTTTTTTTTTTTTTTTTAATCCAACAGTTTCTTAATGGACAACTTGGCCGTCAGACTTGGGTATCTTATTAATAATATGTTTTATAATCAATATGAGATAGGGAAATTAATTATTTTCAAATAATCGCCGTTTCCACGAAGATAAGAAACGGCACAAATGAGTTGAAAAATAAAAAGATTGATAACCACCATGTAAGTGGTGATCCAAAGTAAAGTCAAATTTTAATCTCAAATTCTGTATTTCAATATAAGATGACTTATTGCAAGCTTTTAGCGTACGATCGAATTTATCTTAAAAATGGTGGGGGTGTTCTCTGCGGCTTGCCGTTCTTCTAATCGGTCCTAAAAATAATCGATTCGGTCAGGAGCAATAAAGCGCGCACTTAATAAGATTGAATCATCCTCAAGTCTTTCCTACTAATGAACTCTCCTCTTCTCTTCCCAGTACTTTTGAGGTTAAACCTTGGTTATATCTTTTCACAGTTTAAACCAAAGTAATCATCAAAAGCAAAGCAAATCTTGTTGTTAGCAAAAGGAGAATAATACGTTTTATTTTCAATTATTCTAAGCGCTGCGACCAATTTAGAAAGAGACCTCCCAGGGTTAAGGACTAAAAGGGCTTCATATTGTTCACATATATCAAACTTTCAAATATTATTTTTCAATATGTTTCTGTTTTCTGACTTTTTCTGAAGATCACAGCGAACCTTCGATTATTGATTTGCTAAATAACAGAAGAAGAAGAAGATTTTCAATTATATTCTTCTTTTTTTTATCAGCCATACTCAAATCAATAGATTGGTCTCATTCTTTGGGTCAAAATGAAAATTTGTGAAAGCTTCTCTTTAACCGTGGCATCACCCTTTGGCACCATGGAGCTGGCAAACCGACGAACGAAACCACTTCTTGTAAGCATTTTGAACAGTTAGAACATCGCATCCATAAAGGCACTGCGTAGTTCGGAGTAATGATCGGTGGCAGATTAAAATCCAAAGTTCATCTGAATAATACTTACCCGAAAAAAACGAATGCAAGTAATACTCTAATAAGATCAACTGGAAAGGCAAGAAACCCAAGAGAAAATTCCAAACGAAGTGGTCGTAAAGGTGTAAAGTGATGGATATACAGTAAAGACCTTGAATCAATGTACCCTTTGTGTGCGAAGAGAAAATGGAAGATCTTTCGCACAATAACCGAAAATGTTTCCTGGTCTTAGCCTAGTCTTAGTTGACGCCAATCGATGCACTGGCTAAAGTGAAGTTGTACGAAAGAGGCTTAAACCCAATGGGGAAGCGATATTTTGTTAAGGATTGTATATCCGCCAAATGGCAAATCAGATGGGACCGCTAGGGGAGCACATCGTTTGATAACAAATATTGAATAGATTTAACGCACTTTGCATCAAAGAATACATAAATACATTAATTTGGAAAAATTTGTTCAACTAATAGATGCGTTGGAGGCTAATGCACTCACGCATTAAATGATTCATAAGACAAACTCAGCTTAGAGATTTCTACTTTCCAGTATATATTTTTAATTATCAATATAAAAGGCCTTTGTGTTCTTATAATCATTATTTTTCACATTAGCCTATCTTGGTGCACCCATTTCTTTTTGTCACCTAAATTTAACATACATGCCAAGAATAAACGAAGGGTGTATGCTCTTAAGAATAATTTTGATTGATGTGTGAATTTTTATACTGCATCTGCAAGGCAGTATGTAAGAGTTGTGTGGGTGTATATAGCACTCGAACGGATTTTAGAAAGACTCACCTCTTATTATGCCGGTCAGTTGGAATCATCTGCTTTAAACTTGTCCGGCTTCCATCTGTCTGTCCAATGTCTTTTCATGTATTTTGGTATTTAACTTACAAGTCGCAAGTTTCAAGATATTTTCACGAAATTTAGTACGACACCGAAGTAACCTGACCCAAGGACGACCGCTGTTAGAAACAGATTGCATCCGACCGCTTTTGCGACCAATCCCCTTTTAACACCTTATTTGGGAAATGAAAAAGTGAAAAAAGACTTTCAGAACGACAACGACTTATAAAATCGATCGTTTGGGCCAATATTTTCAACGCCCTACCCTAAAGTGTAAGTCTTTATATAAGTCTTTATATAGTTTATGCTAAAAATTGGTCAATAATAGTAATTTGGACTAAAATTAAAGTGTACCAAGTTTGATCGAAGATCTATTTTTTTGGATCCCATTTTCTACAAAGATTCTTGTGAAAAATAAGGCTTTACATGAAAATAGAATGTATTTTCTGGTAATACTTTAAGGTAATAAATAAAGATTTGTATTAGGGGAATTGATCCAGAGGCCTTGCCCAACTATAACATTTTGTATTAAGTGCCAGTCGAACATTTCTGTTTTATTTAGAATCATGAACAGCATATCGAGACGGACTTACCATTTTATTTATACTATTTTCGAAAATCCATACTTTTGTTCTTAAACATTTTTCGCAATCAAAACCCTTATAAAATAGGCATGAAATCGTTTGTGTTACAATGCTTCCTAAGCAAACTTTTTCTAAAAGGTATACTGGATGTATCGTTAAATATTCCTGTTGAAGTTTCTTTTCGTTTATTTATATCACTTTTGTAACTGGCACTAAACCCTGTTATTGATCTTTATAAAATTTACGATCTTTTGTCGCTTCTGTTTTGCTAGTGGTTTTCGATTTCTTGCTTTAATGATAAGATAAAGCTTTCTTACGGTTTCGTTATTTGTGAAACGCATCGAAGATTTATGCCGTTGATATAATTTTTAATTTCGCTAGAGAAATGCTGTCATATATTATAATAATATTATTATTTTCTTTATAAATTTCAATCGGGATATTCCACTATCTTTATCAGCAATGCTGCTGTGTCACGAGTTGTTACGAAGAAAGAAAAATATAAATTCATTTATCGGCTCCCAACGGATTTACCGACAATCGCCATTAACGTAACGACTCGCAAAGAGAAATGCAAGGTATTTGAGTAGTTGAAGGTGAAAATCTAATTCGTGAATTTTAGTTAACAACGAAGAGATTATGTGACAATCGAAATCGTTCTTCATTTTGTTCTCACACATCATTTTAAGAGTATTATGGAAATTATTATTATTAATAGCGTGGAATATGCAGGCATATAGCAGCACAGTGCAATGTAAAGAAGAACACAGACAGTGGGGCATGTGTCTCATTCGAAGTCAAATCATTTGATCCCGAATGGTTCACAAAAGTATGTCAAAGCTAGCCCTCTCATCAATAGCTGCGAACGAAAACTGCGGTCGAATCTTTCCTTTAACAACACCATACCGTTAAAGTGGGAGTGTATCCTTCTACATTTATAGAAGCCCGCAAGTGTTTGCGATAAACTGTGACGAAATTACCGAACCGCCAAGCATAAGCTTTTGAGACATAGTTAACGAACAGGAACTAAAAACATCGAGAGCGAGACTAGTAAGATATAAGCGAATAAATGTATTTCGTGATGTGTGAAATGAATTAAATTAACGAGGCTATGCAGTAATCGGATTTCTAAGGCTAGGTAATAGTCAATTTAATTAAACGCAAACAAGAACATTATAGCCGGGCATGGCTGATCATTAAATAACCTAATTACTTCACCTAGTACAGCTGTACAATCATATTCGTTATAATACAGCAAAAATGCATGCACGCCCTCACGCCTTTGAAAATGTTCACAACTTCAATTAACGTGGATAAAATTTAGGTTAATTTAGGTTAGCTTAGGTTAGGTTGACTTAGCTTTAACTTAATATAACTGCCGAAGTTTTATTATTATTTTACAGTGGCTTCCGTCATAAAAAATTGTAAGTTAGTCCCGGAGAAATGAAGAGCTTAATTCTTGTTTATGGACTAACTTGACAGAAACGATAGATCGAATTCGCCGGCGTACCTATCGTATGCAGTATCGTACATTTTCTACATAATACCTTCACATAATTTAACAGCATTTTATACGCAGCATCCTCCGGTGCATATTTCCGTGTTTTATAAACTTATGGCCAATTTGTATATTTCCTGTTGTATACGCAATAATTCTTAAACTTATTTACTTTTCGATTACATTTAATTGCTAGCAAACTGAAGTTTAAGTGAAAGAAGATTGTGACATTTTTAACAAAGTAATATTGTCTTGTTGCTTTATGACGTATTGTGGATTGTGACAAATACTTAGACAATCTGTCAACAACCGCATATGTTAAATGCCATTCATTTTGACTATACTTCGTTTATATATATATATATATATATATATATATATATAGAACACGTGAGAACACATATGCTCGTTGCACATCCTTCTTCACATAGTCTAACCAACAAGGATAGAAATAAAATGAAAATATTTTGATTTATGGTAAAGAGTGCAAAACAAATAAATAAAAAACAGAGGCAAGAAAAATAATAAATATCGGCTTACACCGATTGCTTTTATACTACAGCTGCTATTGACTTATTATCTTACATAATCCATGGATCAGTAATTTGCGAGACTAAACGAAAACAAATATCCAGCAAAATTCAATTTTCTTCATTAACGTTGCCTCTACCCAGAGTGATGCAGTAAGTTATTAAAAATGCACTTCAGCTCCCCGAACGAAATTTTTCAATCCAATAGTGAATCTGAACGACATTTTTCCTCGCATAGCAAACTTTGATCAACATACGAAATTTCGAATCTTCCATTGCTTTGAAAATA